GCTATGGAGAGACAAATAATGATTGTCGCGATCAGTTGTTGTCGATCGCAATTGGAATCACGTGTTAACAAGGAATATGAAAGGAATTGCAATACAGATTGCGAAAATTGTCACGGGCACCCCTTAATTTCGTTATAGTGTTATTTCACGATATGCTATACACGAGTTGCTAGAGCCGGCTGTGGTGTATTACATAATTAATTATAATTATAATTAAACCTATAATTTATCGAAACACCCTACGGGTTTCTATCGACTTTTCGCAACAACTAATGTGAGCAACTCGAGGAATGTTATATAAAAGAAAAAAAATGATAAAAAGTCGCATTGGTGGAGTGACTCCTATTTTGCATGGTTATCAGTTAGGCCATTTCTAATATCTTAGACATTAGCGCAAAGAAAATTATTTCGGGGTATATATACAGATGTAGCTTTTTTTTTTTTAATACTTTCAATAGCGTAGAGCGATATAGTAATACCTATTCTATGTACAAATTAGAAACATGCCGCTTGCAATAATATAAAGTCAAGGTAGAGAGAGCTTGCGAACAGCTCGAGTTGCGAGCTACGCGTTGCCGTCGATGATTGCATGTATCTTGTTCGAACGGATATACACATATGTATATTTTTTGCACGGCAACTATTAATTGTAAATATAATTTCGAATCTCTCAGGATATTGATCAGGCAATCGTTGCATATATATAGCGGTTCGAAATCGGCACATGTCGTGTCTTGATTTGTGTGTGTACAGAAAAAACGTATGAGCTCTATGCATGTTTGTAGTCACTATTTCTTCGCCGAGCAAATTGTATTCTCAAGTTAGACTGTACTGTACAGTTGACAATTGACAAGTTATCCCCTCTGAATAACGCGAGAAATCTATTGTAAATTAATCATCGCGCCACATACCCCAAACTTTTATAATTGTTTCGTGTGTCCTTCGCGTACGAGTTTCGCGAGTCACTCTCGTGCGTTTCAATTATATTATTGTATAATATTCAGTTTAAAATTTAAATTAATTTTAATTGAATTTCATTTCGTGTTTGCGTTTTGTTTAATCATATTTTTCAATTTGCTAAAAATGTCATCGGCGGTGAGATTATTAATGTAACAAGTTTCCCTTAGCAGCTAACGCAAAAAATTAAAATTGGAATAAATTGCAGGGCAAGTTCTTTTTTCTCGTGTAGAGGACGAGATGCGCGTATTTCGTACGGATAAAACACTATAAAATAGATACATGTATATAGCTTTTCTGTGATCATAAACTTGCCTCCTTATCAATTTTATGAGCTACAAATAGACTACTACCTCCGTTACTACAGCATACACGTACGAGTATGTATGTACATATACATACATTGCATGCGGATATGTGCGTTCACATTCATTTTCGTAATTATATTAAGTGTAATCTTTGCTTGTACTAATCTCACATAGTTGATTGGCTGATTCTATCCTTTTGTTCTTTTTTAGAAGAAAAAATACGTTAGTAGCACAACGTCATCATTATTAGCCGTGTTCCGATATGCATTGTCAATACTGAAAATTTATACTTGACGTTATACGTTACGTAGATTTTCAGTACTGGCAGTGCGTATATCGGAACACGGCTATTGTAGCGATTTACAATCGTATACATACATATACATTATACAATAACGAATGAAAAGTAACGGTATTTAGTAAAAGTGTGAACACGATGAAATATTGGCAATCAAAAGTCCTATTCTTCTTCCTGAAGACTTTTGAATAGAATGTACATTACTTAGCAAAATGACCATTTTGCTACATCCATTGCGATGGATAGCAATGCCATACGAGGTAAAGGTTCTTTAAAACTAGTCAAAAATCGTCGTACGATATTTTAGGTATTATATCGATTCCACGGAAAAATTTTATATTCCAGAAATATCTCTTATAGTCGTAGGAATACGTACACGTATATATACATATGTATATATACATACATAACATTACGAGGCCTTTATACGGAGAAAGAAAATACGAAAGATATTTACGGCTTTCACAGAATTAAGCATTAGATCGTTAGGTAGCAACGACTGCGTAACGAGTTTTGAATATTCTCTGTTGGAGTGCCGAATTGACACTCAAGATCAAGTATAATTTGATATTCGAAAGTATAATCGTAAACCGATCAGAAGTTTGAATTCATAAGTTTGACTAAACATAATACGCGTATTATATTTCCGATTAGATATACGAATCGATCGGTGTCATGCGTAATCATGTCCGGTGCCAAGTCCAAATTAGGTATATGAGAGAGTGCAATAATTTATTTCATATACGTTCACGCATTAATGTCGGGAGTACGTACGCAGCCTTGTATGGCACCTACGAAATGAGTATAAAATATTTTAATATAAAAAGAAAAATTGTGTATTTCATATATTTACGATATATCGAGTTGCCGGCTTTACGAGAGTCTGACGACTTTCAACGGCATAGTATTAAGCGATAGTTATTAAGACGAGGAACGAAACGCAAATAATCTATGAAAAAGGATAAATGAGGACTTTTATTAGAATATTCCTTCCAATGAAACAAAGCGTATTTACAAAAATATATATAGAAAAGAAAAAGCATACACGTAACATGCCATGGGCGTTTCAAGTGATAATGATAATCAGCATTTCGCTTAATTATGTATGTCAAATCGTATAGAATTTCGGCCTTCTATTAAAAAATCTTGAAAATTTTACCAATCTTCAACTACATTTCTAACGATTCTGATCGTTTCAACATCGATCAAGCGCGTCTCTATAATATGCGATATCTTTTATATATATATATATTTATATATATATATACATTTACGTGATTCGACATACTTATTGGTGCAAAATATTACTGAGTTGAACGTTCTTGTTGAAATATTAAAGGGATTAATCTATGATTAGTCTTATATTGTATATGTAAATTCTTTACCAATACCAATTCCTACCGAGAACGGAATGCGATTTAGTTTCGTACAGATATTGAAAAATATTCGAAAATGATTTGAATAAATATATCGCAATAGTTTTACAATTCTACATTCACTTACACTTAATTTCGTAACAGCAAATTCCATATTTGTCATACAAATCGTCGCAGATTTCATCCTTTTTTGTTTTCTCGGTATATATATATATATATATATATATGTTTAAAATAAGAATAGCTGAACGGAAAACTTATATAGCATTCTAATTTAGGAAATTTGACTTTTTTGGCTTTTTTATTAGTCTTTATTTTTCGATTGACATCACGATAATGAATTGATCATTGTATATTAAAATATTCGTTAGACACACGGAACCATACAGACGTATATGAAATTGTCTCTGTTACAAATGTTCGAGATATGCGTCATTATTTTATTGATAAAAATTATCACACAGTGATATCAGAATTCCAAAAAATTTCGTAACATGTTGAGTGTGCTGTTCGAGGTGAGTTGCTTTCCCCCCTTTCTTTAATAATTTACTTATTATAGTATTAATATTCATTACAGTTCTGAGAATCTGCAGAGAGTGCATGACTCATCCTGGACGGACCGCTTGATGTTTTTGACTAAATTTCGAAGAATTTGAATTGTAATTTTGCTGAGGATGACTCTCCAAAGTGAGTTAATTTCGTTGAAGATTACGAAATAAAGAAGACATAAGTTTTTTCTGAAGAAGTAATTTTTTTGAATCAATAATATTGTGCGCAACCCCTTTCGCACTAACTCTCATTAGCCTTGAAATTTACTTATTATTATGTTATTTTATCACAATAACGTTACTTATACAGCACACGTTTAAACATGAAAATTAATATCTCGTCGCACTTTACCTCTCAACATATGTATGTTATTATATATAGTTTCTTGATTATAAACAAGATGAAAACTAATAAAGCGAGATAAAAAAGAAATTTGTGTAAAAGTTTTTTATTAACAGAGAAAGAGGGAGAGAGAGATTGATTTGATGTTATATATATATATAATGATATGTATATAGGCAGCATACGCTAAATTACCGACAAGTAAAGATTCGAATCGTCACATAGGATAGCGTCAAATGGCGTCGGATGGCGTCACATTGCGTCGTGTCATATTGACGCATCGGAGATAACTTCATCGATCGTCATTTATTGTCGAATATATTTTGGCACTCGTATGTAACAAAAAGTTCATATACATATTCTTGCGAGTAAACTATTACTGTTTGTGAGAGCGCTAAACGATATACACGATATGAACGTGAAAAAGAATTTTCGCGTGAAATACTCTGATGACGGCAATGGCAATGACACAATTCAAAAAAGAGACACTATATACTCCGCTATATTTTTTAAACGCATACTCACGATTTTTAACCATAATTACTACTGATAAGATTAAAACGACTGATAAGTTAATCCGGCAAAGAGATATGTATGTAAATGCCACGCGAGCACCATCTCAAAATTAATTAATTATCACAAGATTATCACTTAATATTAAAAATTCTCTATTTATATATGTAACATTTATATATGGTAATATAGAATTAAAAATATAATTGTTACAGTGGAGTATATTACAGTTAAAGTTAATAGTACGTAACCATAGTACATGACAGCTGATATCTATAAACTATTGGCCTCGCGTGGCTTATCAATTTATCGCGCATCGACATCGCGTTTTTGACATTGGGAAGTAGTCGTGAAAAGCGAGTCAAGGCAAATCGTATGTACGATGGATGGTGGGGTAAAACATGGCATAGCGAGGCGAGACTGCCGAGAGACGCGAGGAGTGACGAGGAGTGACGAGGAGTGATCAAGCTGATCTAGCGAGACATACGAAGCCAGAGCTTATGCTCGGCAAAGTTTGACTTGAAGAAGCGAGACGAAACGAAACGAAGCCTGCGAAGCGAGAACTAGCGTGAAGTGAGGCGAGAGTCGAGACGAGGCGAGGCGAGGCGAGGCGAGGCGTGGCGAGACGAGAACGAGACGAGGCGAGACGAGGCGAGGCGAGGCGAGGCGAGGCACGCCGACGCGCGACGGCCGACGACGAGATGAGGCCGACACGCGTGCTCCGTTCAGGTCAGGTGCGGCGGCGAGAACCTTCCTTATGACATGGATTTCGAGGCTCCTGAACTACAGTGTACCGGGTGTCCTCAACCAAGACAGTTGCGTGATATCGCGTCACACGCGTCGTCGTGAAACGCGCCGCGAGCGAATGCACGAAATCGTCATTGCGATAAAAAGGCACAAAACGATTTTTCCAACGAGAATCGTGTTAGGCTACTCAAAGTCTTCAGCTATAACAATCTGCGCGAGCTCGTTGTTGGTAAGCTTAACGTGACGCGACGTGCAATTTTTGCAACGTTTCATGCATGCTAATCCTCTTTTTTTGCTTTTCTCATTCCTCTTAATTCCTTTTAGTCCCTTTTTTAGCATTTGAATCATACAGATTCATCAAACAGCCTTCTAACAGCATCTATCGAGAATACGGGATAACGAGATGTGACTGAAAACCTTGTATATTTTCTTTTACTTTTAATAATAAGCACTGTCGCCAATAATTACGTGTCCTCATTAATATTTCTTACAGCTGTTACGAATTCTTTATTTCGTCAATACTCTTTGTACGAGAATATCCCTTTGTATTTTTAACTGCAGTACATATTTAGAAAGAATATTATTGTATACATTTCAACCCCCTCTTAGTTTTTGACACTTTTACTACATCCACACAATGGGTCTATTGTGTCCTGGATTAATTTTCATCACTTTTACAAGTATTAAGTATATAAAAATTATTAAGCAATTTTTACGTATATTTTGACATCTGTAGAAAGTATGCATAAAGTTATATATTTATAATAAATTGTTATATACGATATAATATTATTGTGTATACCATAAATCAAAGGAAAGAAATGCGCAGGACACGAATGACTCAAAGGTGTGTATTAAGAGTTAAACGGTTTGTCTCACTTATCTATCGCTCGTCCAAAATGTACACTCTGCCACTTGTCACTATATTCCGTACGGATGTATGCGATTTGCCGGAAGTTCTACATTTTCAATAAGTTAAAATCATTTATCGATTAAATAAGTTTCTTTATTTACATCGATGTAACTTTACATAATAAATGTAATTATCGATAATTACGAGTACTACATTTATTTTGTTCCCTCGAATATTTTCAAATTTTCCAATGTCACAATACAACGCGATGCAAATTGAATACAAAGTCGATGATTGTGCAATTGAAAATTTATGATTGCATATATTGTATTATGAACTATCTCCTAAACAGTAAAATAAGAAAACACTTAAACACGCGAATTGGATTTTCCCAAATTATTAACATTAGAAAATTATTTTATTTACAGATTTTTATCACATTATTTTTCAATTATATTTTGTTCGCTTTAATGACTTGTAGTTATATGACTCAATTTTGAAATTAGATACGCTATAATATTTTTTTCTAAACAAGAATAAAGGAATATTCACTGTTATTTATTATTTACACTATATATAACTTATTAATTTGCATAAGCTTTTCCTCTTATAAAGACATTTGATTATTATCATATACATATACATATACATATATATATATTGTTATGTATTTTTACGATGTCGCCTTTTTCCCGCTTCTATTCTCTTTTTTTTCTTCACTTTGTATTTTCTTTTACTTGTAGCATTCTAAGCAAGCTTACTGAAAAGTGCATTTTGAGTATTTAAAGAAAAGAGATAGTTGATAAAATTAAACTAACGATAAGATTTTATCGTTTTGAGTGTTTACATTCCGCAAGATGTATCGATTTGCAATATATAATCCTGATTAAGTATGCATAATCACCGATGTTAAATTCATAGACAATGTTCCGTGATGTCGAATCAAAATACTTGGAATGATATTTAATCGATGACTCAATGTGTACATATTCGAAATAAATAATGTTGCGAATTGCAGCAAATGAGAAGAACATTTTCTCTCTAAGCTTTACGAGAATTTGCCGAAAATGCTATATATAATAGTTAAAAAGATTGCACATAATTTCTTTTGGGCGACAAATTAGAGATGTTAATTTTTCAACATTATACAATATTATCTAGCTGTTCAATGTAAGAACGGCTAGAAACCTTATTCTTTTGAGAACTGAGCTTATTCGCAATCACACGGTGCGAGAATTTAATTCTTAATATTTTATATAGATATATTTTCTCAAATTTCTGGACACGCCTCAATTTTTCTAATATTTTTGCAAAATCAGGTTTATCGGAAATTTAATTGTCTCTATATTTTAGTAGAGGCAGACATTTTCACACAGAGAAATCGACCAGTCGGTCTCCATGGTGATCACACCCCTCTGGCGACTCTTGTATGGCTCTAACTACTTATTTTCAAGCAAAAAATTTTCACTTGCTCTTACTTATTGTTAGCCGTATATAAAAAATGAATGTAAAGCAAACAATTTGATATGTGATGTCAGAAATATTCGTTTTTTTTTTTTATAATTCATCAACTATTCTTATATATATTTGCGTTAGAGTTCGATCAAAATTTCAGTTTTGATAAAAAATCAGAGTTTTGGTTTGATTTCGACTTCAGCCGAAATTAAGAGAAAATTTCGGTGGATAAACCGAAATTATACAAATTGCAACGCGCCGATGAACGTTCAGAAAACAACTGTTTGATTTTAATTATTAACTCGTTGATTAAGTTTAAGACAATTTGAGTTCAAACTTTGATGTGATCCTAATAATAACTGTGATTTGATTTCTTTAAAAGTTGAGGATGCTGTATTATTATAATTAGGTATTTTAATAAAATCTTGTTTTTTAAAGAGTACATAACTTTGTCATGATTTCTGAAAATCATACGGTCTCTGTAGAATCAATCCAAAAATATCGTTTTCGACTCTGGCCGAAAAAAATGTCGACTTTGTTAGCTTCTTTCTCTCTCTCTTTCTCTCCCCCCCCCTCCCCCCCTCTCTCTCTCTCGGTTTTTTTTTAGTAAAACTTATCTAAGTTTCGGTTTCGTTTTCGGCCGAAATTGAGTGACAACCGAATATTCCGTTTTCGGTTTCGGTCAGACTCTAATTCGTGTGTGCTAGGTACGTTAACCACTATTAGACTTATCTGCCTGTTTTCGGTACAATACGTACGTAGCGATAAGGGTATAATTATAAAATCCATAAACGACAGTAAGACACGTAATCCTTTTTTCAAATGTTTGCGCAATAAATTTGTATTACGTAATGAGGGAGAGAGAGAGATATTATAAATCTTAATAATTATTTGAAACATTTTGAATAAAGAAGTAAATTTGTGTTTCGTTTGTACGTGCCTCTGCAGATCCATATCAAATATTTACAATTGCACATGCGTCGAAATGTCTATTTTCCATGAAAAAACAACTTAAATTTGTAACAATATCTCTGTCCCCAATTAACTTTCTGTCTCCGAATGTCCCCGATTAACGAGATGATCGGGAGTTAAGATCCGAGAAGTCGATCTAAAACAAGTGTCACACTTATTCTTACATTTCTTACATTTTTCATTAAAAAGAAGATTTTATGTAGCACACATGCATAAGAAGTATGACGTTTTTTGCCTTGATCTATATAACGACTTAATTTATATTTATGTATATCGATAATTTCCTAAAAACAAAATTATGAGAAAATTTTAACAATGTAATGTTTTTATAATATTTAAGGTAAACATTCAATCTAATATTTTATTAAAACAGATTTATATAAATACATATCACTAGCAATTGCCAAAAAGTTTCAGCTTACGTCGTAAGTCGACAGTTGTGCAATACCAAAGTATTATTAGACTACTGTCTGTGAGAGACTTCTAATAATAAAATCGTTTACTGTTGGAAGTTTTGAAACGTTTTAGCTTACGGTACGATAGGATACGGGACCTGAATAAATTAAGTGTTTTCTGATGAATTTTTTTCACTGAAAACGAATCTGGCTGCAGAATTGGCCTATCACGTCAGATTTCCGAGAAAATTAAGATTAGGCATTTTTGGCCATATTTATCATTTTTTTTGTGGCTAAAATAAATTTTTTTTTTTTTCAATTTCACTTGCGCCATTTTAAAGTGCCATCTTTTACCTATAAAATAAATTTATATTTATCACGGTACAATTATTATGATGTGTATACTGTCAGAGATCCCATGTAATTATGTTACCAAATATTATTACTGCACAAGGACGTAGTCACGCACCTTAGCACTCCAACTGTGAAATTGTTTATACTATTATAATTTATGTACTTACATTTTATACATTTATAAATAGTAATAATTATCTATTCGATTTAGTGATTATAATATGCACAGAGAAAAAGATTTCTTTGGATGTAATAAACTTTATTGTATCCCCAAATAAATTTGTTATTTGGAATGGTCCAAACAAACCAATGTTTGAATCAATAAGTGCGATCGTTTGAATTTGAAACAATGTATATCTTTGTCTTAAATACATTATTTGTTTGAAACAGATAATATCGATCTTGAGTATTTGCGTGATCAACTGTACATAGCACTGCTCGTTTAATCCTATTGTTAAACGTATAAGCCATTGTTTCCATATTTTCGGTAAAAAAATGTAATAATTATTCTAAGAAAGCAATTATTTGCATGGAATATAACCTAACCTCTATGAATATATTTTGCCATTTTCAAATAAATAATTTGTGTCATTGTTTGTATTCATTGTAACCAAATAATATATTATTTAATTGAAAGATATTACTTGAAATAATAATGTTATTTCTGTCAAGCAATAGAGATTTCTCGAATGAAACAAGAAAATTTTTATTCAAACAAATAATATTTCGCGTACAAGCATATGTTGTTTCAATAAAACAAATTTTGGTCAAATAAATAGGAATACTAAATCCAAAGAAACCTTTTTCTCTATGTACTGTATGTATATTAGATATTCCCTAAACGGTTATAAAACATAATACATAGACACGTTTAGGAAACGTATATATTATACGAACTAATGCGCTATTCTACTAATGTGCTATATTATACTCACGCCAACGAGTCTTTTCCTATATATAGGGCGTAATGTACGCCTGCAAATACTATTATGTTACCTCGTTGGTGTGTAACTACTAGTTTTTTCATCACTTAATATTTGATCGAAATAAAAACTGTCGTGGAATGATATACGATGTATGCAATTTTGTCATTACGGTACGTCGGCGTCGCTTGCGGCTTGGCGAAATTTTGTTACGGAAAATTTCTGAAAGTATATGAAAATACTGAACGCTAATCCATATGCTTGTTCCGGTAAGAATTCCGTGGACATTAAGACATTAACCTATCGAATATTATTGTAATAAAGTGTACTCGCGGTAGATTGAATCTGTCAAAGTGTTGGTAAACTGAAACATTATTGTGAATTATTACTCTGATACGATGATGTCAGAGCTTAGCTGCTGTTATTACAGGCGCGTAGCGCCAATTTAGAAAATACTTTCTCCCTACAACAAAAATGTTAGAACACGCAAGATGATTCTAAGATTTTCATCGGGTGTGATTGTTATTAACGGTAATAAAAGTGAAAACATTGTTTTACAGAACGAGCGACTCGACAGTGCGTGCATGCTGAATTCGGCGCGGTCGACCTTCCGTGAAGCGTTCAAGATTGTCCCAAGGGTCCTTATGGTAACCGGAAGACAAGGTGGCTATCTTCCGACTGAGTTCCAAGGGCTGAAAGGCTGGCGACGTCGTTGGATTCATTCGGCCATTACCTACATTTAGAGGAACCATGATTAGCAGGAACGATACCATCCTGCGAGGAATTGAAACGGAATGCGAAAACGCGGGCTGCAGGCATGATAACAACAACGATCGAAATTGTTCTACGAGCGTTACGAGCATCAGAAAGGAAGATGCTCGCGTGGAAAGGAGCGAGAGCAATCGCCATCGGCCACATAGAGCTCCGTTGGTTGGTTGGCAAAACGGAAGTCCTACAATTTATTCGAGTTTCCTCCAGCAAAGCGTGGATTTCGACGAGACCAGCTTACCCTCGAAAAGCTGTTGTAATGTACGTGAAATTAATTGTTTGGATGCAAGCGATACAACGGAGAGACCGATTGACGCAATCGAGTCGCTCGACTGTCGCTCGACTGTCGGGACGACAGTCATCAAGCCGATGAAACGGAGCGATGCTTGGGACAAAATTCAGGAGGCACCCGTGATTGATCGCGAGAGATACGCCGACAGAGATACAAGTATAAGAAGAAATCAAAAGCGAGTCAAGGATTCCATAGATTCGTTAAGCATCTCGGAGCGAGAGGATTCGTCGAGTTTTACGGCGAGGGAGACAAAACGTAAGAAAGCGAAAGTGCCTGACGGCGGTTGGGGCTGGGTAGTCGTTTTAGCCTCTCTAATTATCTCCATGGTGGCCGATGGTGTCTCCTTCAGCTTCGGCTTGCTTTACATCGAGTTCCTTCATGAATTTGGCGCCTCGAAATCCAAGACCGCCTGGATCGGGTCGCTCTTCATGGCCGTGCCTCTTCTGTCCGGACCGATCATGTCTGCCCTTGTCGATCGTTATGGATGCAGGAACATGACCATCGTTGGCGGTCTGATATCAGGGCTGGGCTTCATCCTGAGTATCTTTAGCAATACCATCGAGATAATGTACTTAACTTTCGGCGTGATCGCGGGTCTCGGTCTTGGTTTGTGCTACGTCACCGCGGTTGTAAGCATCGCCTTTTGGTTCGACAAGAAACGAACCCTAGCTGTAGGTCTCGGGGCATGCGGCACTGGAATCGGTACGTTTCTCTACGCTCCTATGACTACGTATCTGATCGAGGAGTATGGCTGGCGAGGCGCTTGTTTGCTCCTAGCCGGTACTTTCTTCAATATGATCGTCGCGGGTACCGTTATGAGAGATCCGGAATGGTGGATTCTGGAGCAGCGCAAACAGGACCAAACTGCTCTGCCGAAGAAATCCGCTCTCGGCCGCTCGGACGTAAGTTCGTCGGACGAGTTTCCAGGCGTCGAGGAGCTGAGAAAGCTCTTTAGAAGTGACCGCGCGCCTGAATATTTTTTACAAAATCTAAGTACCAGTACTAAAGCGGTCGATGGAGCGAAGAGGCAGACGACGAGTGTAGTTAATTTACCAACTTTTGTAAAGCGAAGCGAAAAGGTGAGACTGCGATGAAGGGGAAGGACTGCAAATGTTGCAAGGATGCGATGAAAGCGGCAACTTGCTCAATTTCAGTCAGTTTCCTACAAATAAATCAATTTAAATGTGAGATTCTAGGTGCCTTTGGAGGTATTGGAGTTATTGCTATCCAATTCTAGGCTGTACACTGTCATTCTGGAGAATTACCCCAGCCTCTTGTTGTGTAGAAGTTTGTCCGATAAACAGCTGCAAGACTCGACGGGAGAGATTTGTAATAAAAGCGGCGTCACGATGTCAATGAGGTTAATTTACTACGCATTTAATAATACGCACGTAGTTTTATATATATATATATATATACGTACGTATATACAATGCAATGCGGGTTTTAACCAAGAGTTTCTATTTCACGAGAACCAAATTTTCATATCTTCTTACGATCACGCGTATATACGTATGTATATGCTTGCCGCGCGACGCTTTCGTCGAATACGTCGAATATTACAATAGGCTGTGACATTTAATATTTATTATATTCTACAAAGGCTTAAACGAGCAACGGAATCGAAAGCGATCGTTGAACAAAAAAAAGATTCAACCTCCGTTCACGCTCCGACGAAACTTGTTTGCGCCAGAAAAATATCCAGGAAAGAAATAGAGGAAACTAATCCTTTGCTAGGAAAGGAAATCATGCATACGGTAATTAACAAATGTGTGATTCGGACGAGACGTGCGAAAGATTTGATTATGGATTCTGTATAATTTATACCATATAACGTGAAGCGACACGACGCGACGCATCGCATAACTTTATTTTCTTGCTAGGTCGCACCGATTGAAAAAAAGAAATCCGTGTCCACTCGACGCTATGTCGAGCCACAGTCCAGTAATGTCATCAGGACAGACTCCTTACCTTGGCTCAGACGACAATTCAGCACCAACACTCATTATTTCAAGGATATCAGAGTGCACAGAAATTCCGTTATGTATCGCGGTGCTGCTTTAAATCTGCACAAATACAGGCTTAGAGCGAGTAGTTGTCCTGACATCTATAGAAATAGTATGACCACATTGGCAAGAGAGAACGAACAGGTATTTTTTATAGATCTTTTCTATTGGAAAGGAGAAATTTGCAAGAGAGATGTATGAGAGATGTGTGTCTATCGATTTTCTTTCTTCATTTCCTGGCAATTTCATTTGGCAGAAGTGGTACGCCGAACTGATAGACTTATTAAAAAGTATGTTGGATTTCTCCATGTTTTTCGAATTGCATTTCCTGTTAATGTCATTGTCGACGATATTGTTATTCACATGGTTCATTGTACCGTATTTTTACCTGGCGGAGCATATGACTAGAAACGGTTACGCCGAGTCCGATGCCGCTAATCTTCTCAGCATCATCGGTATAACCAATACCATCGGAATGGTAACATCAAATTTTACACTTTAACAATATTTTATTCCTTCACCTTTTCCGTTGCTTTCTTTTTTCTTTTTTTTTCTTTTTTAGATTGGTCTAGGCTGGGCTGGCGATCAATCCTGGATGAATGTCAGCAAGACATATGCTTGGTGCCTGATAGCCTGTGGAGCAGCTACTATATTGATGTCTGTGTTCACTCAACATTACGTATTTCTATCGATAAGCTCGGCAGCTTTCGGTCTTTTCTTTGCCAGTAATTTTAGTTTCACGCCCGTTATATTAGTAGAATTGATTCCTTTAGAAAGATTCACTACCGCTTATGGTCTTAGCTTATTGTGTCAAGGAATCGGTAATCTTTTGGGACCTCCATTGGCTGGATGGTTCTTTGATGTGACCGGTTCATGGGAACTTTCTTTCCTGATGGCTGGTGGTTGGATCATTGTCTCTGGAATCTTGGTAGGTATTATACCGTATACAAGAAATCGTAAGATTTTCGGTAGTGGACCAATCGAGATGGAACGAACGAATGGCGATGATTGTTCGGCATAGAGAACAAAAATACACTTTTATTACGTTTATAAATTGCGCATTGGCATCAGATAGAACAAAATTAATGAATGAAATCAAATTTTAATTAATCTAATGTGTCATTCGAAAGAATCTCACTCCGTTTTATATCGAGCGAGCAGTGCTTATACATGTACGTGTGTGTGTGTGTGTGTATGATATACAGGATCTCTGCATACAGTGCCAAAATTATTGCTACAGTGACTTCAGTATATGAAAACAAGTCGAAAATGTCTAATAAACATATATATGTTCGATTCCGAACGGTTTTGGAGTTACGGGATATTGAAGTAGGAAAACATGAATCGTAGTAAATGTTGTTTAATGTTCGTTATTCTATTGTTTTGAATCCTGAATCTTTTTCTATAGACTAAATCTTTCATTCCTATTCCCGAAATGTAAGCAAATACACGTTAAGGATGACTTCGTGCGCGAACGTTTCTCCATGATCACTATCTTCATTGGATTGAAAGAGGCCAGCGAAAAGTTTCGACTTCACACCACTGGATTTTTTTTCTTTGGGGACAAATGAAAGATCTAGTCTATCAGAATGAGATTCAAAATACAGAATAATTATGGTAATTGATACTTGACGTTGCGCCAATATCATCCGCGAAACTCTAAATATTTGTCATCGAGTCCGAAACAATTTATTAATTCGTACTAGAAAGTGTGTCCAAGTCGACGGAAAAATTTTTAAACATTTTTTTATAAAACCATTGAATAGAATAACCAACATTAAACAACACTTACTACGATTCATATTTTCTTACTTCAATATCCTATAATTCTGAAACCGTTCGGAATCAGTATATGTTTATCAGATATTGTCGACTTGTTTTCATGTGCTAAAGTCGCTGTAGTAGTTTTGGCAATATATGCAGAAACATCCTGTATATAATATATACATACGTATATACATATACATGTATGTATATATGTGTAATGAACAATTTTAAATTGCCTATTAGCAGCGAGAATTTATTTGCACGTACTTTTCCCTCGTACTTAACTTACCCGTGTTATTAATAAATTCTACTTACATATATATATATAATATTATAATTGTTACACGTTCGTTTAAACTATACTAATTTCGTAACTCCTACATTCGCGCATACACAAAGATATACATATACGCATTTATCTTTCTAGTTAAAACGCGCAATTTGCATACGTAAATTGTATACACACATGTTATAAATTTAATTTTAATAATTAGATTGTCCAATCTTGTTATGAAAACAAGACTAACAAAATTAAAAAGTCTAATTAAAAATAATATATATACTTTGTAACAAGAAAGAAATCTCATAAATTGACAATCGACAAAAGAGATTCGGACATATAAAGAAATATACTTTCATTTGATTTAATTTGAAATGTTTAAATATGTTTACAGTTTACACAATCAAAACATTTACATTATTATACATGCAAAAATAAAACAGCAATGTTTGTACAATGAGTTTCATAAATAATATAAGCGATACAAGTTTAATAATCTGACGTGAGATTCAACTGTGTTACAAGTTATCATTCTCACCCTTGTCGCACAAATGTATATGTGTGTAATATGAGTTTTTTGTTGATAGATTCTTTGTTGTTAATATCATTAATCCAAAGATTAGATAAGTAGTCAATTAAATATTTTTGTTAGAAAATGTGAGCATCTAAGACACGAATTTGTGTATAATTTCGCGGAAAGAATTCTGCCATAAATCGTTGAACTATTTATTTATTTAGTTTAATTGTTTGTTGAATTGTGTTATTGCATGGCGATGTAAATATTTTGTTATGATGGTACAATATAAATATGTAAATGATTCATTCACGTTCTATTCCATTCACAATACCAACATGTAACTTAAAATTTCAGTGTCAAAGATCTGCCCAAAGAACGGGTAAATCGTAAATGTAAAGATCCTTGAATGTGGATCGAATTATTACTTAAGAAACGGTCCAGTTATGAATATGATGGTATCAATGTTTTTTGATCACTGTTTCGAACTTAATCGATTACAATATATTTTACAAAACGAAAAATAAAAAATATGTATGCATATAGGTATATCTCTTGCACATAGTATATACGAAGTTGAGCACAAGGAAGGAAAACGTCCTTCCCTTTCTTCTTTCTTCCCTTCTGTGATAAATCTGAATCATCGATATCAGCTACCTCATTACGTCAGTATCCTGGAGACGTAGTCGGATTGAGTGGACCAGGACTTGGACTTCGGATAGGTGCTCTCGGAACGCCTAGAACGCCGGCGAGATTTCGTACGCTTTTAGGGAACGCTCTCGCAATGATAAAATGCTGAGGACCGATCAAGGCGTCTCCCATTATACCGAGGCGTACGCTGTCCCCATGCCTGTGCAGAGTCATAGACATGTCTAAAAGCATAACACAAGTTTTTTGATCGCAAAGAAACGCGATATAATATATAAAAGAAAAGCATTGCAGATATCGCGCAAAAGCGCGAAACACATTAATGACATATATGTATATCAATATATGTACTGCAATTTCCTTGCGGCGGTCGCCAGTAAACCGCTCCGTCTATGCCCTCCACAGGTAAATCTCCATCAACATGCGTTAAACATAGAGAGTATCTTTTCGACAGTTGATTTAAAAGTAATTTCAAAACGATGGACGGGACGCAGGAGGAAATTAATCCGTAGGATGTTTCCGCTGCCGTGATAGCGTAAATTGCGCTTTGCCGGGACCTGGCATTCTGCACGTTTCGCCGAATAACCTTGGGGAATGATCCAACGCGACGCGTTGGAATTAGATCTAATTGTAATTGTATCTTTTCGCGCGCTCGTAAGTAAGTGATTCGAGTAAGTGATTATGCCTGCGATACCTGCAACATTTCAATGAGGTCGTCGTGGAACAATGGCGTTCTGGTTGGTAACGCGATACAGAGGATACCTCTAGCCTCGTGATTTCGAAGAAACACTGCTCGCTGACTCACGTATTTGACTGTCGCGAATACATCATCCGGTCGAACGTTGACGGGCAAGTGCTTGAAGTATTCTTTCAGGGCGTCCACGGTAGCCGTTAAAAGAATCTCCATCTCCGTCGCGCCAGTCACATTAGCCATTTTTCGTATGAGCTCGACGTCCACCTTTTCCGACCAAGCCACTACTTTCCTGCCACACGGTGAGATGGTCTGCGGTCGATTCGATTGCGGATTCTTCAAAAATACCTCCTCGATTATGATTTTCGGTGCAGTCGCGGCTATCCAGCTAATGGACATGGTCTCCCGAATTGCTTGAAGCGCCAGGGGAAGGTAACACGACAGTGTGTACATCAAGGTATCTGCAGGATAACTGCAATGTCTATGCCGCGACTGTAAAGCTCGCAATTCTCGAACGAGCAAGAGAGGCGTCTTTAAAAACGACGTAACCGTGATGTACCAGGACAGAGCAACGCACGTGTAGAGAATGTTGATCGGATGAAAAGATTTCGCAATGGAGTCATATATCATCCAAGAATTGAAATTTCTCTTGCTCGATTCTCGCCGGACGATCGACAGAAGCTCCAAAAATTTCAATCCTTCCGACTTTCGGCACTGTCTAAAAATATGACAAAACAATAAATATAATAATTTTAACATTATCGCGATATACGTTATACTTAATCCTTTGGAATATTCGCGGAATAAAGGCTATAGCAACAGCGGTCTGTATAATATTGTACTTGTTGTACTTAATCCTCTGGAATGAGAGGCAACTCGAGTACTATTGTATATCATGCCGCGGGCAATCGAATACCTGGCCAATTCCTTCAGAATGCAAACAAATACTATCGTCGCAATCTTGACACCCTGAAACACTCCTATACGCTTCTTTAGAATTCCCGGCTGCTCTATAGGATCGTTATTGCAAAGGAAATCGTTCCAGTAGTTGCTAAAGCTCTCTCGGAACATTTGTCGGAGACGCGGTAGAGCGGAGGGTTGGACGTACAAATTCGTAAAGGGCGAATCGCTCTCTTGACAAGTCCAGTTGTCCGTCGAATATTTCAACGGCAAAAAATTCGCCAAAGTTAGACGCTCCTGCCGCAGGAGCAAGTGATGCGCTCGCACGAGACATATCTGACGTAGTTCCTCTCCTCGCACGAACAAGTTGACTACGTGCACTTGCCAAGGCGGTAATTCCTTTGGAAGAAACTTGGATGTGACGTCGCTTATGTAATCCTACGACACAAAGGAATTGTCTATACGTCAAATATAGCTGGCTCTGCTCTCTATGCCAAGTATAAAGTATAATAATAATTGAATGAAAGAACGCGACCTGTATATTGTTCTCGGTGATAGGACGACCTCGAAAAGAGTACGGTGTATTTGCGAGATGATTGTCCACGGAAAAGGAATCGAGTTCTTTCCATACGTATACGCCCCATCGCGTGAAGAGAGCCGATTTAAGGAATTTTCTCGTCGAAGTTAGATGCGTCAAGTGATTTCTCACGTCCTTCACGATCGAACGTCCTTGTACGAGAAGGATGCATATGCCCTATGCATGTATCGTCGTGATGATAGATAAACAATCAGTCAGTATATGTAGCGATTAAAATTGACCCAATCGAAATTCATCGATATTATATGAAGAGTATATATAGGTATATACTTACGGGATTGCGTCCTTGGTCCAAGATGCTGCGAATACTCTTCTCCTCCACAACGACGTAACTCGGATATTTCCATTTGACAAAGCATATCCAACATTTTCTTGTCCACGTCACCACTTAAAAATGCCAAATATACACGTATCACAATAATATAGCCCATGTTAGAAGAGAGAGAGAGAGAGAGAGAGAGAATTACAATAAAAAGAGCTCGAAAATACATTCGAAACAACAATAATTACCTACGTACGCGATAAAAAGAAGCGGAACTAAGAAAGTCATCAATATAAAACTGAAGCCGAAATTTATCGGAGAAATAACGATACCAAACATGACATCTAATCTTGCGATACAATTTTCGCCTATTACATCGAACAAGAACCGCGCCGCTCTGGCTCCCCCAGTTTCCGATATCTTACTGCTGATGCTATAACTCGGCGCAATTTAATTCACGGCATCCGCATTCTCGTATGCATGCGTCCCCGCGGGATGCGACGCGAACGATTATACATCGAGTCTGACCTTTCACGACCCTTGGCAAAAAGAAAGCCAAGCGAGATACTATTCCTTCGTGATACTCACCTCTCACCGTCGAACTCGTCGAAAGATCTCGTCAGAAGTCCGCGAGAGTTATCAATTTATCATTGCCGAGTGACCGCACCGAGTGACAGTCATTGTTGCAACAATCAGTCGTTGCGGAAAGAGCAAGGGTTCGAGATGTAATAATAAGTCTTTATAGTTGTAAACCTTTTATGAGAAGAAATTCTTCACGGACGAACCCTAATTAATTGCGAAAATAATACGTGGTTTATATTTATAAATAAATAGTTGCGCTAATGTCACGTTGAAGCGTTATAATTTTGCGTCTGCAAATTATTGTCGAGAGGGATCCAAGTGTATTATACTCGGAGAACATGCATATTTGAAAGACATTCAAAAGAGAGAGACTACCGTACCGTCTTGAACTAGACGACTTGAACACAACAGCACGTGTGACAGTTTGACGACTAATAGTCGACTTTGTTTCGTCAACTTAAAGTCGACTTGTAAGTTGTAGACTATTTTAGGATAGCTTTTTGTTGATTTTGAATGTTGACTGTAAGCCGACTCGAGCTCGACTATTTCCGAAAATCTGAAATTTGCCACCTTTCCATATCCGACTTTTAATCAAATTGTATTGTTAATTTTCTTTTTATTATTAATAATAATATCCAGATGCGCTACATATATTACAGAGGACATAAAACACTAAAAAATGACTAAAAGATATGGCTTTCTTTCAGGTCATTTGCAAAACGAACGACACAGTGTATTCCACAATATATGATTTCTGATAGGTTGACATTTTTATTCTCTGTTCTCAGCTGTGTTCCCTTTATTGTGCGGAGCCCCTTAAGCTATTCAACTATTGCTAGAATGATTACAACTGATTTGGTATTCGGCAATGTATATATTTCCGTCAATCGCAGAACTTTCAGTTTTTTTTAGGATTATTACGACTATAGACGACATTAAAGTTCCTATAACGGAGTCTAGACAATGCTGGACAATGCTGGACAATGCTGAACGGCCAGGTAGAACACGGAGTCATAATTGTGTCACAATGATATCACAGAACGTCATCATGATGTCATTTGTCATACCTAAAAATTGACTTATAAATGATGAATGAGGTCATGCCATGACCTCATCATGACTTTATGACTTCTGTGTTCTACTTGGGAAGCGATTGCTGATTGGTTCCGTCATTAACAGTCAATTGACGCTATAATCGTTAACTAGCGACAGCCAATGATAGGATAATCCTGGAAGAAAGCGCGGCTCTCAATGGCTGTCACTAGTTAACGATAGCGATAATTGTCGATAAAATGCTAAAGAGAATCCCGTAACAGCAATATTATAGATTAGTATACACATTATACACAGATATATCATTGTATAGACGATTGCAAGACATTGTCACGCTGTCAGACATATTTTTGCTCGCTTGTACAATTCTATTCTACTTAATCTTTCATCTTGGATCATTTAAATAGTTTGAATTCATCTTTATTGTCGCGTATATAACGGCAAGCAGTTATTTGAATTGCGCGGCAAACGCGGCGACACATTTCCGGTTTTGACTGTTAATGGTGGACGAGCATGCGCGCGAATATAGTGTCCAGATTGTTAGAGGGACTCTAGACGACATATGAGACAGAGCAAATATATTAATACTCGAAGGAAGGGACTGAGCACGAGAATTAATCTAGTAACACTAAAGCGGGGAGCACAGACTCTTGCTTAACGCATGACACATGAGGCATAAGAAATTGAACCAACCAGAGTTCTCTATTACAAGGAAGGGAAAGAAACGGAGAACTTCGATTGGTACATATTCTTATGCATTACATGTTATGCGTTATGCAAGAGTCTGTGCTCCCCGCTTTATTTAGACTTAAATTGTAGACGTAAGTAACGCACAAGCTTAACCAATTGCAGTTGGCGCGGAACGCTTGTGATTGGTTCTGCTCTCGTTCCGCGTAAAGCGGGGAGCACAGACTCTTGCATAACGCATAACACATGAGGCATAAGAAATTGGACCAACCAGAGTTCTTTATTACATGGAAGGGAAAGAAACGGAGAACTTCGATTGGTACATATTCTTATGCATTACGTGTTATGCGTTATGCAAGAGTCTGTGCTCCCCGCTTTACGCTATTCCGCTGCATGGGTAAGGTCAGCTAAAATAGAGTTTTGGAACAGGGTAATTCTAATAGGATCAATAGGATGTCTTTTCTAATAGGATCTCCTTCTCTTTCTCTCTTCAAACACAGTTTAAATAACAATCGATAACAATTGATTGGGGTATACTTGTAAGTTTACTAATTAGATATGTTTTACAAGGTTTAATTATATAATGATCAATATTTATTAAACGAAACAATTAATTTGTCAGTAATTCTCGGGTAAATATTGATTGATAATATGGCAGCCGGTCCAATTGCGGAGCGTAACCAAGGTATGTGATCCGATCTTTTAGTTTAAATAATTTAGCTTAAATAATTTTTATATAACCTCTTGTTCCAAAAGAATATATATGTGAAAAGAAATACTTTGATTATATTTATCTTACCGTCACATTACAAATTAGGTTAGACACTTGCTATTAAAGTTAACCTTAAAAATATATTTTATGGTATTGAATACCTAGCTAGAGAAATGTATGTCATATGAATATTCAAATGTATAATAAATTAATCTTTGTATTTATTACATCTTTGATATGAAAATTTATATAGATGCAACAATATACGTTGGAGGTTTGGATGACAAAGTCACAGAATCCCTTATGTGGGAATTATTTGTTCAATCGGGACCTGTTGGTAAGCATATGCGTTATTCATTATTATGTGTTATATGTAAATTTGAGTATTTTTTAAATTTATAGTGGTAACTAATAGTTTATATGGCACCATAGATTTGACTACGTACATATACCTTTAATATCTTCTTAAAAATATATACAGAATGTTTGATAAGTAACGATAAAACTTTTGCATAGGGGTAGAGCGGACTAAATTGAGTCAAAACATTCTCTACCATTTTGCAGTTTTCGCAATAGTTGATAATATCAATTACTAAAGATCACCAAATATTGGTTTTCAATAATTTTGTACCCAAGTACCATCAACCTTACAGAAAAACATTATGAGACAAAAATTGTTTGTTTTCTTCTCATAGGGGCCTAAAAATGTTTTCAGAATTTTTTGTCAATTTTTTAGTACTGCATCTTCTTATTGGCAACTATTTTTACTAACATGAAAAAATGCACTACTAAAAAATTCTGAAAAAATTCTCAGAACTCTATGAGAAGAAAATAAACAATTTTTATCACTTGCTATTTTTCTATAAAGTTGATAGTAGGGGAGACCGGGGCTGGTTGTTGTACAAGGCTGATTGTCAAAATGCTTACAACTCTAGTAATTTAAGTGCACCTATGACAGCGCAGATTCCTAACTGCCCTTATTTAATTACTATTATTAGAACTATTTTTTACTTATATTATTACTATAATTACTATTATTTCTTAAAATATAGAACAGATATTAAAATAAGATGAAATGTATTTTTTATATGTGTTATCCATAACAAATATGCTACTACCAATGTTAGAACATGTGACAATCAACTCAGAACACAGGATTAATTATCACATTTTCGCAGCTTCATTCAAAATTAAATACCTTATTTTTACGATATGATGAATTCACGAGTAATACTTTGTTTAATATCTAAAGGATGTAGGTATATTATAACGTATATAACATTTCAAAATCAGCCATCCACTTTTTTTTTAAATATCACTAATCAAAAACTGTGACAACCGACCCCAGTCTCTCCCCTAGTTGAGTAAAAAATTATTGAAAACCAATATTCAATTTTTATTAATTAATATCTTGTTGATCATTGTCGAAATTGTAAAATGATAGAGGACTTTCCATTTTCGACTCAATTTAGTCTGCTCTACCCTTATGCAAGAGTTTTATCGTTACTTATCAAACATTTTGTATATTTTATATATATAATATATAATTTCTTTTCAGTTAATGTACACATGCCGAAGGATAGAGTAACTCAAATGCATCAAGGATACGGCTTTGTTGAATTTATGGGAGAAGAAGATGCAGATTATGCTATTAAAATCATGAATATGATCAAACTTTACGGCAAACCTATTCGTGTAAACAAGGCTAGTGCACACCAGAAGAACTTGGATGTAGGAGCAAATATATTTATAGGAAATCTTGATCCAGAAGTAGATGAAAAATTGTTGTATGACACGTTTAGTGCGTTTGGCGTGATTTTGCAAACACCAAAAGTACGTTCAATTTATTTGATTACAATCGACTGTTTTTTCTTTGACTGCTATATAACGAAATAATTTTACATTATAGATAATGAGGGATCCCGAGACAGGTAACTCGAAAGGCTTTGCTTTCATTAATTTCGCTTCTTTTGATGCCTCAGATGCCAGCATTGAGGCAATGAACGGTCAATATCTGTGCAATCGGCCAATTTCGGTATCTTATGCATTTAAACGCGATGCCAAGGGCGAGAGACACGGTAGTGCTGCCGAAAGACTTTTAGCGGCTCAAAATCCTCTGAGTCAAGCGGACAGACCGCATCAATTATTTGCGGATGCGCCACCTCTGGCGCCGCCACCTATGCCAAATTCAAACGCGAATACCCATCAATCTGCTCATCATCCCCAGCATCATGTGATGCATCATGGAATGGTCGTACCACCACCGCCACCACCGTCTACTCCTGGACCACCAATGGGCCATCCGCCTCCACCGCCTGTCCCACCGCCACCGTCTGGTGGATTTCCACCAGCGAACATCCCTCCGCCTCCTCTCCCTCCAATGTCCATGGCGACGCATCCTCCTCTACCACCCGGGATGCCACCGCCGTTGCCGCCTATGCCGGTGCCGACTTCTCAGGCGCAGTCAGCTGCTTCTAGGATGATGGCACCACCACCACCACATTGGGCTGTCGGGGCACCGCCACAAGGACAATTTCCGCCGCCTCCTCCACCATCTTCCAGCGGTGGTCCTCCACAATTCGGGCAGTATCAGCCTACGCCTCCAAGACCACCTCCAGCTTGGCGACATCCGCCACCGCCGCCCGTTTCGCAAGGTGGCCCACCGCCGCCGCCACCACCCCAATTCCGACCACCCTTCCCACCAAGAGGACCACCGCCACCACCACCGCCACATGATGGCAACCAATATTAATACTATATTTTCGTGACTTATATTTATACATTGTGTGAACACAAATGATAAACGATTCAATTTTGTTTTACAATTATTGTCAACAAATGTATTATTATGAATCGAGAGATCTATGATACATTAGTTAAAACATCAGCTTTTTTATGAAACCGATTTCTTCATTGTTCTTAAATAAATTTGTTCATATTATAACGATTAAGCGTGGTAGAAAATTAAATAATTAATTGGGGTATTATATATATTTAATATCTTAATCAGTTAACACACTATGTAATGTCGCTGGGCATTAACAGCACGTAATGAGAGCATGATGTGTCAATTATAACGTGCGTTTCGCTCGGTCACTTCTATCGATCGATTAGGCTTTGGCGCTTGAATAACGTACCTACCTACCTACATACATACCGCGTTTGTTCCATCGATTATTTTGTGCCTGTCCAGTCCAGTCAACGATAGTCGCAACAGCAAGTCTACTGTCGAATATCCTACTATGTTTCGCGTAATTATTATTTTTTTTTTAAATAAAACTGAACAAATGATCACTTTCTGTGGGGATGGAGTTACTAAGAAAATTTGTATGCGATACACGTCACGTGTCATAATATTAATTTAGTAAATAAAACGTGGTGTCAACGCAACAGACAGAAAGACCATCAAAATAATTTTGTAAGTTTTTTTCAGAATATTTACAATCACAATACGACTTGATCGATCTGTCGTTGCGCATCCACTATGTCAAACATAAATGTAATTATGGTCGGACGCTTTGTTACGGAAACTTGAGCAGTGAACAATCGCCAATAAGATGGAGCGATAAATTTTTAATCATCTTGCATGCTACAGCAGGGAAAACCAATGTGCTAATGTCGATAGGGATAGATATGGCACTAGTCTTTTATGAACATAGAAACGGCTTCGAACTTTGAAACAACAGTGACATTAACGTGTTTAAGTTATACGTATGCACAGCCGAGTATCGTCCGCATGATCTGCATCGCTGCTATAATTTGCAGCGTCGTTCCATAGTGCAACGGCGAGCACCACGTCATCCTTTGGAAGCCTGGTACTTTTAGCTAGGCAGTGCTTCACTCGTTGTTTCTGTCATTTTTGTGGTAAGCATAAGCACCTATTTAAATGCATCGAGCTTGTTTGGGATACACGAGTATCGATGTCGAAACTTTTCAAGTAGAAGATTCGAAAAATATATGTATATTTTTAATATTGCCGTCTTTTTATCGGCAAAACGACGATCATACAGTTCATGTTCTAAATTCTTCGTCGTTTGTTATTTAAAGCGCGTTGTGCTAAAAAGAATGTATTGTTATTTACTTTGAAATCAGATAAGCGCGGTATATGTAGTTGGATAATCTGCACAAACATAATAATATTTAAGGTATTTCATCCGGACGTATCAACGATAATAGACAAAACGCTCAGGAATTTAATCAACCGAGAGCTAATGAAAACCAGATATCTATAAGTATAGTTCCCACAACGTTTTCGTCGCAGAGAAAGATGCTGGTAATCGGTGCGCAGCCGAGCTTCACGCACATGAGTAAGAGTTGGAACAGTGTCTTTCTCATTTTACATTCACCGCTAATCTACATGCACGTCTGAAAAGACTATTCGTTTACATTGGAAAAATTAAATCTAATAAATAAATAAAAAACGTCGAACAAGTTGCAACAAAAATCTAAGAAAAAGTGTATACGACGCTTGTCATGCCAATTATTCGCCCTTTTAAAAGGTCATCTTTTTTTGCGGATCGATGAAAATTGTATATAGTACTCTTAGTACCGATCTCTCGCGCATTTCTATGCGCCAATAAAATATTGATTTATATTCCAGCACCAGTCGTTGCGTAACAAAGCGCCGCTTTGCCGCTTTGCCGATTCGTCGCAAGATCAGGTTCGAGACGTGTTTCATCAGCGTTCAGTGTTCTCGAAACTTTGTCATCAGTTCTCTCATTCTTTACCGGCACAGCGCGTAGTCGTGCTATCGCCTTTTACTTTCCACTTGTATGTAACAATCGCTAGTAGAGATAACTTGTAATATATACTTAACATAATACAAACATGAAGAATTTCTAATAAATGGGATATGAAAAATTTTATATATTTTTCCTTCCAAAAAAAGATGAATCCCTAATATATGTATAATTGTATGAGAGCTCAGTAAACATCAAATTTGCAAAACAGATTTAGAATTGTCCAGTCAGACAAATCTTATTACGCAAAAGATAAGATAACACTTGACAATATTGAAATCTATTTGTAATTTTACACGAATATGTTATATACGAGCGCGTATATATATTTATTATTTTTATAGGTACAAGAATTATGAATTATCTAACAAGAACAAAAAATTGAAGTAACTAGTTGGGATTGTTTTTAGAAACGGTTAGCTATTACAGCGCCGAGTCGCTTTAATTATCTTTTCCATTGGCTTTAACGAAAGTATCGCGAGTCGATTTCAACCGGCTTGCTTGTGCGTTGACGATAATTGGCTGATTAGATTTACGCAGAAAGTAACACTGTGTGCAGACGCGCGTAGCTCGTACAGACGTCCGTGTGTGAATAAGCACACGGCGACCTTTCTTGAAGCTATATTGTATAATAAAAGAATTATATATATATATATGTACATATATACATGTATATAGATGGACTGCGGTCCGCCCTAATTACGTCTGCGTCGGTTTCGAACAGTTTCGAACGATTCGAACGATTCGAACGACATTTCACTGGGCAGCCGCGAGTTGAGTCGATGTGCGACCAGTGCGACGCGGATAAGCAGGATAACGACGTAGCTTCGCTCCTTAATTCTCTCAGGCCTGCGAACCTGCTCGAAACTCGTTTTTCGCGCTTGACGGGCACAATTCTCGTCGACAATTAAGAGGACATGCTTGTGTCTGTCGGATCTAAACGAGAATGAGAACGAAAGAGTGCGTAGCGTGCAGAGCGAAACCAATTAAAAGGGACAATCCAGCGATGATTCTCCGTTTCTTTCGTGCGCTCGAACGAAATGTACATGTGCATTCTTAAAAGGAACGCGTTTGATAATTATGCGTATATATGTATGTTTATAAATATCCGAAATAAGCTAGCAATCTTCTTATTATATTTGACGATGTACAATGCATCAGCAAAACTAACAAAGCATTGTTAAAACGTTAATTCTCGGAGCAATGTGCTTTACATTAACGATTCTGTAGATTATATTATATGTAGATGTATCTGTAGCTGACACACAATGAGATAGACCATGATTGTAAGAAAAAACGTCAGTTAAATTAAATAAAAGTATTATGATTCAGTAAATTTTACATGAAAGAAATCTTTGTGCTCCCGCGTAAATCGTTTTATCACGGACATTCGATCCGTTTGTATATATACTGCGTGTACAGCAAGAAGCGATCGGAAAATAGACTGTTAAGCTTGACGCGCGACCTCGTTAAACTGTAACGCCAAGTGTCATTCCGATAACCCAACTCGGCTGTTACCATCTCTCTCGACTGTCGACTCAGAGGTCGAGAAACCTCTGAAAAAAAAATGCAAAGAACAGGGAGACTCTGGTTAATGTTGCATACTCGGGAAGCCAAACGAGGAATTTAACTGCAGACTCTCGTCTGGTGCACTTGAAAAGTTATAATGACTTAAGTTATAATGGCGCGCGCCATGATTCGTGAGTCATTGAATGCCGGTATATTGCCGCCATTGCCGGTTGCCGGTCAAACCAGGTCCAACGCAGGAAAACAGGAAAACCCTACATGTTACGCTCTTGATGAAATCGCTCATCACTCTTTCTTCCACATCTTTGTGATACTAGCTTATACAATTGTCACGCGATCGTCAATTTAACGACTACGATGCTACTACGATACTACGTGTACTACGTCAAAAGAGCGAAAAAGAGGAAGACTCAAAAAATCTGAAATTAATATTATTCCGGTTTCTAAGTAATTTTGATCTTACTATAATTACTGATTATCATATATTACGTATTTGCAATATTTTTGCGAGACATCTGGATTTTTTAATAACAATTTTTTACTTTTTCTTGCTTGTCAGGGCTATGCAGTAGCTGTATTTCCCAAATAGTTGCTAATTTTAAAAAGTGGAAATAATTGAGTGAACATGTATCGCTCTATGATGCACATGTACATACGTATACGTATAATTTATTTAATCGTACTATTTTCGCGATATTTTTGCACGTATGTATAAATGACAAAAATATTTCTCGATCGCAGAGAGAAGAGGAAAAAGATGCGCCGCGTCTTGGATTTTTCCGCTAACGAGGACTCTGCGATTCCAGGTCGTCGGCGCCGTCTGGAAGAGAACGTCGTCTCTCTCTCTCTCTCTCTCTCTCTTGCTCTCGCGCGCACAATCATCGTCGACGCGGGACGAGAGCATCGTCTCTCGAAATATACATTCTCGTATATATAAAAGCGTACGTGGGGAGAAATCGGCGTGTTATTCTTCGAATAAATCGGACAAGTTTATAGGAGCGCGGTGACTCCCGTCAGCACTGTCACGGAGCATCCGCGGAAAAAGGGGATTGGATTCGCGCGAAAGCGAAAGCGAAAGCGAAAGCGAAAGCGAAAGCGAGAGCGAAAGCGCGGAAAGCGAAAGGCAGGAAAGAGATTCGCGGCCGAACGAGTAAACGCCGTCGATGATGGAATTAAAATAGATACGGGAATAAATTGTCGAACCGGCCGCGGCCGCACGGCGCGACGCTCTTTTAGTGGGAGGCGCCAAAATTAGAGGAGCCCGCAGGCGAGTATAGCGGCGAAGAGATTCGAGTTTCGTCGCGGTTCCGCGATAGCTTCCTCCTCCCGCGACACAACATTTCGAAACAGTCCTTTCAACCGATAAGACGATCCGTTTCAGCGGAGAATCGCGAGAGTCGTAATACTCGTAATTATGGCACGCAATCCTTCCATCGGCAACGTGGCGCCCGACAAGCGATAAACGCAAACGACTAATTCGGTTTCGCGACCCAATATAAAGAAATTAATTAATTTATTGTTGTCCCCTTCGGAAACCTTGGAGAGAAGAGATGCTCACTCGTCGATTGATAATCGGTCGATCGTTAGTCGGATATCTCCTCGCGGGGTGCATTATCGTGTCTCTGTCGACGAGTGTCGCGCAAGTCGAAGGTGAGCGAGCGGCGAGCCTGCATTTAATTAGAATTGTCAGTATTGTCACCCGCGCTGCAGGCGGCGCCACTCTAATTGGCGCAAAGGGACGCCAATGAAATCGTTAATGCGACGAGCAGAGATGCGCCATTAATTAAACGCGTTCTTTCTACTTTCTATGTGAGATTCTAGTTACACTGAATTATAATAAATATTTCATTCCAACAATTCGGTATTGTGCATTATACAAAATAAAAGCGATTAATTGCGAGCTATGATATACATATACATATACTCGTATGTATAGAAGATAACGAGCGTATAAATTGACGTGCTCCAAATTTTTCATTTCCTCATGTAGTATAAATCAATGATCGAGTTTCATCATTATAATTTTTAAAATCGAATTTTTATTTTTCGCAAATTATAAGCTACGTACGCTTTGCGAAACTTGACAAAATTCATAAACACTATTGTGAGTAAATTTTTTTGTCAACTCTAACATTTGACCTCTCCATTTTAGACTGCTTCTTTGGACTGTTCGATCGTTACACAAATGTTATGTTTTACATAGGCAGAAAGTGCGTGTGTACGAGCAAAGCCTGCAAAGAAGCAGGCATAGATACTTGTAGAACGAGATTCTTCTGCTACACGGAACTTATCGTGACAACGGGACAGGAAATTGGTGAAAGTACAATCACGAGAGGATGCACGGAGTATGTACATACATATATGTATAATGATTGTCACTTTTTGCAGATGTTTAACGAAAGTTATGCATAAGTAAATACCAATTAGCATTCTTCTATCACACATACAACTTTTTCTATTCTCAAAAACATATATTTTTTTATCTTATATCAATTAAAATGCCAAAAGGCAAGACGTTGTGTCTCTTCATGAACAGGATTTTATTTGTCGTTTTGTACAAGTTTCATTAACGGTGTAATATAAATTCAGGAATGCATTATGGCGTGCGAATATACATACTTAACCTTGACGAGATAATCGAACGAAAAGGTTTCCACGATTTTTATTAAATGCCGTACATTAATAAATTACCGTCATCACCTTAAACATGGCAGTTGCGACAAGGATTCGTTCAACCAAATCCGGATATTATGTTAATAAGACTATGTGGTATTCATTTTCTGCATACAAGTTTTTATACAAGCAGAGAGTTCTTTTGCTATTCAATTTGAGACACACATCACAAAAGCTCTAATTCAAATATTTCCAAACTTTTCCGAATGCCAGGATATAATTGTTTCAAAATAAAACCAATCGTGTGTTTCCAGTAATAAAAGAACGTATACTAAATGCAAAAATTCAAGTCGATCGGACGAGATCTTGGTTCCCGAGATATTATGTCAACGCGGTTGAAAAATACTGTATTCGATGTAGATTCCATTATCATTTGACTGGGCCTGCGGACCATTTTAGTAAACAATGAATAACTCAGTTATTGTACCTACATTATTTCTGTGAACGGCTTTGGTAATATATTTTCCAGACTTTATCAACTTTCCGAAAATGCAATAAAAAAAATCTATTTTTTTGACCCGACAAAGTAAAATACGTCCCCTTAAATTCTTAAATCTATTCCTCGTTCGAGGAAAATTTAATAATTGACGATTCAGCTCACTGTTGTGATTAGATATGTTGCAACTCAAAAAATGACAAGATCGCGAAAGTTGTATTGCCTCTCGTGCGATAGTTGAATGACATTGTTAGGCATCGCGTAAGCGTCGCTGCATTAGCTATCGGCAACGTGCGGCGACGGGTGGGTTCACGGAACTTTATCAATTGATGTTCGCAATATCACACGCAGGGGTGCCACGCCATTGTTGTGCGAAACAAAGTCCTGGGTCACGAGGTCACGATCGGTCAACGCCATGGAACTGTCGACAAGTCCTCGGGTTCTCGTGCCCTGGCCCAGATTGAAATGT